TCATTTCCCTCTGTCACAACAGGACTGAACTGTAATGGACATTCAAGCAAGTTTTGAAAAGCATTGTAATAAACTAATTTGCTGAGTATATATATACCTTGGTGACATATCTTGTTTGATTACGGATATTTTCAGGAAGTTTGAACGCAGCACACCAGTAGGTGGTGTCGTCATCTGGAATGATAATCTGTGCACGAAAAATCAGAATTAGTGGCGATATGACTAAGTTTTATTGACTCAAAACTGTTGTTGCGTATCTATTGGAACTATAGCTTACATTATTAACAGTAACGTCATAGAAGTCCAGGTCCTGGGGATCAGGAGCTGCATCAGGGAGACCTCCCAGTAGGTTGAGACTGAGAGCTCCCTTATGTGAGTGTATGTCAGCGAAGGTAAGGACTTCAGAGGTTGGGTCAGTGGTGGCATGGAAACTCCAAATGACTCTTGCGGTTTCAGCCTGCAAATAAGCACTATAATATATAGCAGCTTACTATTATGTATTCATGACTTACAGTGATGGGGAGGTCATAGTCATCACAGGTAACATATTTCCGACTGAACTCAAGGATAGTGAGGCCATTCTCTTCCTCTCCACCTTCCAGAATCCAGTCTTGTTGCTCGTCTATTGTGGGAGGGGCTCTATCACTTGCAAACCGGTCCTGTCAATAAAAGTGATATGGTACTACTGCGTTTTGCTAGGCTGCATCAATAACGCTTACGTGGAACACGGTCTCTCCACCATCAGTGACCCATCCAATGACTACGTCAGAGTTTGGCATTTGTCCGTTGGGCGAGAGTCCAAGGCCAACCCAGCCCGTGGCATTGACGCGAACGGCGAAAGAAATGGTTTCCTTCACATTGTCGAAGTTCCAGTAGAGTTCGTAGAGACCTCCGTTTTCTGCAGTGTTCAGCGTCGCTTTGAACGGGTAGCTGGAGAAATCGTGGGCACACCCCACACTAAGGGCACACGCCAGAAGAAGTATTTGTGCTACTGCTTTCATAGTTGTATCCCCTGGAGAAGAGCAATAATATGCGCTGAAGACTGCGCGCTTTTATACCCCGTTTACCGGTCGCCTCTGCGCGCGCCGCCCGTGACAACCTCCCCGGAGCGGAAATGATGCAAGCTCGAATGCAAGTCAGTTCAGAAGCAAAAAAAGCTGCAGCTAGCTCCGCGCTGAACGGACCGTGCCTGTAGCTAGCTCTACCGCGTTTACACCATAACACAATCTAGCGGTAACAAGTCATTGCGGTGCCACATTATGATCGCGTTGCCTCTGAGCTGGCAATGATCTTACTCACAGCACCATTTGTGGCCAGGAAGTGGATGTGTTGGATCCTGGACACATGTATATCTCTGTCACCTTGTCCTCTTCTCCACAATGGACAAACAGTCATGTCAGTCATGTATCTACTCACCTATAAAATACCTAGGCTAGCCCTGAGATATACGTGTAAGTTTTGGGACTAGATGGCTCCAGCTGTTACATATGGTGTCAGGAGTGGGATAAGATCCTCAGGGCTAGCCTAGGCATTTTATAGGTGAGTAGATACATGACTGACATGACTGTTTGTCCATTGTGGAGAAGAGGACAAGGTGACAGAGAGTACCCAGTCTGCACATGATCACAGTCTCTCTTCCATCAGTGACTCATTCTGTGACCAGACATGTCACCTCTTGGGGGGAGTACCCAGTCTGCACATGATCACAGTCTCTCTTCCATCAGTGACTCATTCTGTGACCAGACATGTCACTTCTTGGGAGAGTCTGAAGCCAACCATGCAGTCAGTGATCTTCATATATAGCCTTATTTCCAGGAAGTGCAAAAACTATTAAACATTCCCACAACTTTTTGCAAGAATAACTTCATGCAAACATAGGATTTATGTTGTAACGTTATATATTATATATAATTATTACATGCTTTCATGACATAAGATGAAGCTATAATTATATACACAACCTGTTGCCAGATTGTTATTGCAAGGCAGTGTTTTGGCAAAAGAATACTTTGTACAAGGACAGAGAATAATATATGTGTGAATGTTCAGAAAGATTTCATCCGAGTGTGGCAGCCAGTAGAGAGAGGAGGAGCAGGAGAGCCACTGAGGCTCTCAGAACCACTCCATCTTCAGTGGCAGAGATCCTCTCACAGCAGGTAGGAGGAGTGGAGTCTGTGCACTGGTCAGGAGCTATGTAGGAACAGCCAAAATCTCTGGAAACTTCATCGTTTTGAAATCGTGGTGTCCTGAAACAAACGTGTTGTTCTCGTGTAAAACACAACTGCATGCACCTTTAGTCATTGAATTCACTTACTTTGTCATCGCCCCACAGTAGAGTTGCTGTGAGCTCTTATCCACAGTTTCCTGGAACCCTCTGAATTCACCTTCATTCCAATCAATGGTGTCCAGCTTGCTGTAGTCTATGACGTCTCCGTTCACAATCTGCTCACCTGACCTGCACCCACAAACAAGTCTCAATAGCAAATAAGGCTCTGCGAATTAAAACTGCCAACAGTTTTTGTCTGCCGTCACAACTGAATAGTAGCCACTCCATTGTGAGGACTAGAGTATGCAGTCAACGTAAAAACTCTAAACTCACGGTTAGCGACTGTAAGTAATTCCTCAGTTCACTGTCCTCGATCTTTGTAATGGAGTATTTCAATCATCCTTGGATGTAGTATAAGAATGAGAAACACATTTCCTCTCGTGTGGCCTCGCCTCCCTGCAATTGAAAAGTTAAAGATTTTATGGTACTATACCTGACCCTTCAGCAACAATGGAACTTAAAATGTTACACCTTGAACGCCTTCTGTGCCATAAAAACACTTAAGTTGAACTATGTCTCCCTACAATACAAAATAATAATTTATGAATAATGTTCATGGATACATAGTAGACCACACTCACAGGCTTGATGATGACATCTCGCTGCAAGTGGTTGATCTGCTGGTAGTTAAAGTCGTATTTCAGGTTCCTGTCGATCGGCTCAAGTTCCTCGTACACACCGCACTCTGGGTTGTAGCGGAAGTGCTGGACAGCCAGTCCATGACCTTAAGGGTGAAGATAAAAAGTGTTTGCAGGTCAATTAATGCAGTGTGAAAGTGAAAACGCACCAACTACATGGGTGTGAAGAATATTTCCAAACACATGGTATTCCCTCTCAGGAATGAACTGCAAGTACAATTATAGGAATTCAGTGACAGAACAATAGATTTTTTGTGGAACTCACATTTCTTGTACACTCTGCGGGCATAACAACAGTAGTTGTAAAGTCTTGCATGGGTGGAATCACATGGTCCTTAGACACAGCATGCCCAAATATAATTGTCCCTGCTGCGTGTTCTCTCGGAGTGGAGGTGTACCGCAGTCTCATGCCAGAGCTGTCCACAGTACTGTGTAGCGGAAAAATAAAAGTACATCCTGCCATGCACCCTGTAGGATGACTTCTCCTGGAAGTCAAAAAGGCTCTGAAAAAGCTGATGATAACTACCTGGTTTTAGTCCTGGGTATCGTAGTGGAGCTCCATGACCCAGATACTGAGGAAAGTCTTCTCCACAAATGGATACGCCACGTTGTTTGGGTACACAAAAGTCTAGAGGTAATGAGATGGTCATTTTGTTGTTAGCTACATATAGACAGTTGCTATACTATCGTGCACCAGCAAAGACTGAGAACTGACCTCTCCTCCCACTGCCCAGGCAGCAATAAGGACTCCATTCCGACAAGCTGCAACAGCCTCAGGTACGCCATCTTCACACACTCCTCCATTCCCCAGATGTGTATCGTGATACTATCGCACACGTAGACTAGCAGGTGGTGAACGTGAGCTTCATTTCCCTCTGTCACAAACAGGACTGAACTGTAATGGACATTCAAGCACGTTTTGAAAAGCTTGTAATAAACTAATTTGCAGGTATATATATACCTTGGTGGACATATCTTGTTTGATACGGATATTTCAGGAAGTTTGAACGCAGACACACCAGTAGGTGGTGTCGTCATCTGGAATGAATCTGTGCACGAAAAATCAGAATTAGTGGCGATATGACTAAGTTTTATGACTCAAACTGTTGTTGCGTATCTATTGGAACTTAGCTTACATTATTAACAGTAACGTCATAGAAGTCCAGGTCCTGGGGATCAGGAGCTGCATCAGGGAGACCTCCCAGTAGATTGAGAACTGAGAGCTCCCTTAGTGAGTGTATGTCAGCGAGTGTAAGGACCTCAGAGGTTGGGTCAGTGGTGGCATGGAAACTCCAATAGACTCTTGCGGTTTCAGCCTGCAAAGAGCACTATAATATGACTACGCTACTATTATGATTCATGACTTACAGTGATGGGGAGGGTGTATAGTCATCACAGGTGACATATTTCCGACTGACTCAAGGATAGTGAAGCCATTCTCTCCTCTCCACCTTCCAGACATCCAGTCTGTGTGTGCTCGTCTATTGTGGGAGGGGCTCTATCACTTGCAAACGGTCTGTCGATAAAAGTGATATGGTCTACTGCGTTTTGCTGTAGGGTGCTCAAAACGCTTACGTGGAACACGCGTCTCTCCACATCAGTGACCCAGTTCCATGAACTACGTCAGAGTTGCATTTGTCCGTTGGGCGAGAGTCCAAGCCGAACCAGCCCGTGCATGGACGCGAACGGCGAAACGAATGGTGTTCCTACGCATGTCGAAAGTCAGTAGCGTTCGTAGAGACCTCCGTTTCTAGGACAGTGTTCCGCGTCGTTTTGAACGGTAGCTGAGAAATCGTGCACAGACCACACTAACGACACACGCCAGAAGAAGTATTGTGCTACTGCTTTCATAGTTTGTATCCCTGGAGAAGAGCAATAATCTGCGCTGAAGACTGCGCTTTTATACCCGTTTACCCGTCGTCGCTGCGCGCGCCGCCCGTGACAACCTCCGGAAATGATGCAAGCTCGAATGCAAGTCAGTTCAGAAGCAAAAAAGCTGCAGCTAACTCCGCGCTGAACGGACCGTGCCTGTAGGTAGCTCTACCGCGTTTACACCACCATAACACAATCAAGTCATTGCGGCGCTACATTATGATCGCGTTGCCCTCTCAGCCTCTGAGCTGACGTTCCGCGAAGAAGTAGCCCCTCCCTCTAATATTGCGCGTGCGCGTGCAAGGTGCGCTAACCGAAAGCGAAGCAAGCGTGATGCAGATACGAGTTCTTCTCACTTCGTTCTTCCTCTGTGTATCTGTCTGTCTCTTCTGCACTGCACAAGACGACCTTGTGGGCTGTGGAGGCTTCGTCAGATCTGACTACCTCTCCAATTTCTCCAGGATCAAGGTAAAACCACAGAAAGTAGTGGGGGCTCTATTTAGGATAGTTAACTGAGCAGTGCCGCGCGTCGTGCACAGGTAAACTTGTACACGAAGTCGGGAGCTGTGAAGTACCGCAGTGAGTGTGCTCCTAACAACGGGTACTTTCTTATCCCCCTTTATGACAAGGTAAGCTACTGCACGATAAATTCTAGAGTGCTGATATTGTCATTCAACAACTTCAGTTTAGCATTAGAGTTACTGTATACGCAAACAATTTGTGTTGTTAAACTGCATTTACATACACTTTCACACGTGCTACTGTATATAACTACAATAGGGAGAGTATGTTTTGAAAGTGGAGCCACCTGAGGGATGGACATTTGGTGAGTGAGTACAAACGTAAAACTTTATCAGAACCAAGTGTGAACAAATGGGCATGCTTTTGTCCTTTGCATGTCCCCATTCATGTCTCCCTCCTCCCGCCTCTCTCCCTCTCTCAGAGCCCAGTGAGGTGGCCCTGACAGTGGATGGCAAGACAGACCTCTGCAGTAGAGGAGTTGACATCAACTTCAACCACATCGGCTTCTCAATCTACGGCCAGGCAATAACTTACCTCCTGCACACTTCTAGGTCAATGATGGTGTTACTGATTGCAGGTGTACAGCACTGGATGTGACTCTGGTCCCAGTGGAGTCACTGTCTCTGTCACTGGCCCAGGTATACTGAATAACAGAGCTTGGCAGTACTTGTAGCAGTGAGCATGATGAATGTAGTATACACTTATTCTTGTCCACTGGCAGATGGCCATTCTTCTCAAACAGAGACTGTGGAGGAAGGAAGGTACGTGTAGATTTTAGCCCGAATTCTGTGTTTGAATGCACAGTTTTCTTCTGTTTGTGTATGCACAGGTTCACAGTCCCAGGCCTGGCCCCTGGGGTCTATTCCATAGCTGCCAGCCACCCTCTCTGGAAGATGGGACAGGTGAAATACACATGTACAGCTTCAATAAACCATTGTCGTTAGAGAGCTTAGGTGCAACGCTGGGCTGCAACTTAGTCTGTGTGAGTGTGATTTAAAGTACATATGAGAGCTTGGTCCAGTCTGGGTGATCAAAAAATTTACTTTTCTGGCACGGCACTTTTTAAGTGGAAGTATAATTATACGGTAGACCTCTGACAGACAGACATACAGACAGACAGACAGACCGACAGACCAGGTACAGTAACCCTTGCTGCACATGTGCACCGAAGGTTAATAATCATCCTCACCCTTCATTTTCTGGACATGCCTTACTGTAGCATACAGTGTTGTTTTCCCAGAGTATAAAGTTGTACCAACTGGTCAAGGTGTCAAATGTCACCTAAAGATGAGACAATTTACGTGTACCTATAGTGTGTTACTACAATCAGTGACTGTGTGAGCATGACCTCTGAACCTGTGTATTGTAATGAGTCACCATACCTAATGTATTTTGGAGTGATGAAAGAGTGTCCAACCTTCAGGATGTGGTGAAGGTTGAAGTAGAGGGTGACTCTGCTAGTGTTCCCAGTGGTCTGACTGTCCTGGGCTATGATGTAACTGTGAGTAATCACCACCCACTCTCTCTGCTGCAACTCACACTTGTTTGTTTTAACCCACACCTTGTGTAGGGTCATGTGCAGAGTGCTGGTACCCCAGTGGCTGGAGTACAGTTACTCCTTTACTCCGACAGCCAGACTGAGGTAGATATACCCCAACTTCACTCTCAGTTTTTGCTTCACAGCGCATGTCTCAAGAACTTGGTAACGAGGTAGAAAGGCAAACAAGTCAACTACACATGTGTATAGTATGATCATCTGCAACTCCAGAGAAATCAGCGTGCCATTAGCATTTTTCACTGACCACTATTAACAAAAGAAACATTACTACCACTATGCATGTCTTGGTACTGCCGGAAGTTGTAGTTGCAAATATGCACGGAGCACTCAAATTTGATTATGGCCAACTTACCGTCCTCAAAACAAGTCACGCAAATTACTGTTTAAGTCATGTCTGTGAGCTGTACGTCAGTAATGTCATGTTGTGATCCTCAGTTGGACTGCCCGGCTCCGCCCTCCTCTCCATCCCCGGTGACCTCTGACCTCGACCAGCCTCGCTGCGTGACTCTCTCACAAGACGACGGCGTCTTTTCATTCCCTGCCCTTCCTCCTGGACGCTACACTCTGGTCTGGAGGAGCTTTGCATGCAGCACACGTTTCTCTAAGTAGCCCACATTTTTTTACTTTTCTTTCTTACATAAACATGACTTCTATTCAGTTCTCATATTATACTACTATATGTACTGTATATGCCGACTATTGCTGTATGTATGTACGTGTGTGTAGGTGCCACATTACAGACATGAACAGATAGTGTTTGATGTTCATCCTCCTCGACTGGGCTTCTCTGTGGCCAACGACTCCCTCTATCTCCAGGTATACAGATAACATATGTTATGGGGAGCATTCAAAGGATAAACTTTACTGGAATTGTTTGCACACAAAAATATTCGCTGGGAAAACCTTTAGGGCCGAATGTGATAAAATTTTGTTGAAATGGTCCCTGTTTGTAAGGAGGAAGATTTTCAAGGCCGTTTTCCCTTCAAATACTTCACTGTGCAGCTGCTAATAGTCTTTGCTAACACTGTGTGTGTGTGTGTGTTGCTGTCCCACAGCCTTCATTTGAGGTGCAGGGGTTCACTGTCTCCGGCAGAGTCCTCTTCTCACAACAGGTGATTCTCTATTACTACCTCACCAGCCAGGCATTCATGGGGGCGTTAGCTTTGGTTTTTGGGGAGTATATACAGGTGTACATGTCAGCACCTAATGCATGACAGGATGTGAACTCTGTGGTTTGAGGAAAGGAAGGACGTGAGAACTAAGTGTACTATTAACCACTCTTTTATCTAATGTTACATAATGATTGGGTCATTAAAAAAATAGTGACCTTTACCTATGTACACTATCTGAACAGATGCTACTCAGTTTTGATGAGGCAGTGCAAGCAGTTGCAATTCAATTTTTCCCATGTATTTAGAATTACATCAAGGTTATGGTATGTGCAGTCCCGTGGCATACAAATATGTAAGTGCAGGGTGACGAGTGGGTGGAGCTCAGGTGTTATGTAATGTACACACAGCTCTATGTTTCTGTATAATTATACACAGGGTGGCGGAGTGGGTGGAGCTCAGGTGTTTGTGAACGGTTACCTAGCAGCCACTACTGACGAGGAAGGCTCCTACACCCTCTCCAACATTACCTCTGGATCCTACCACCTCCTGGTGGGCATTAATTTAAAGGCAATGTGGCGGTGTGTAAGGGCTAAATTTGGAAACTGTTACTAAAAACAGAACTTGTGCATCCTTGCACTTGACCCTATTGTTTCGGTCTATCTTTAGTAACATTTCTAAATTTAGCCCTTAGGATCAGATGTATTCCCTTTAATGTGGTGTGTCTATATGGGTTGGTTGAGCATACTCAGATATGTAGCTTAGAAATTAAAGCATGGTGTATTAGCATGTGTATACGGTCAGAGCAATCGGTGAGACTTTACCATCGGCCGCTCTCTCAGTGAAGTCTTGAAGCTGTAGATGGAGTCAGAGTATCTCATAATCTGAGCAGCTGATTTTGGTAACAATTTAGTTTTAATATAGAGTCACGTTGGTCGGACAGGAAGGCTGACTATACTAAGTGTTCTGTTGGATCTGTCGGAAAGGAGCATCTGGTATTGCATCAGGCTATTCAACCTAATGTTAAGTAGTAGCATGTGACTAGGTTGGTCCTAACTCACTTCAGTAGCGTAAATACACACACACACACCGCTGGAGTCCATGCCACTGCCGAAGCAAATTCTATCCTGCAGGCTTGTGTATCGATTCTTTGTTGAGATGATGAAATGATAATCATCATTAATTTGCAGGTTGAAGCGGAGGGACTAGAGTTTCAAGAAGTGGTGGCGACCATCACACCCACTGAGCCCTACCTACCCGACCTGACTCCCTTGAGGTTGGGGAACCACACCACGCCATATCAACACTCTGTTGGCTAGGACCAACATTTCAGGCTCCTGGCTTTGCCTCTTCTTTACCACACATGCAGTTCTCTTCCACAGAAAATATCACAAAAGTTGTTCCAGTCAAAGGTTTCTTTGAGCAAGTGTCTATAGCTATTCCTTTTCAGGACACATTATGAAATTTCATTGTGTGTGTTTTTACACCTCAAAAAACTAAAAATACAGCAACAGCCCTCAAATTATACTGTTAGAGCTTCACATTACATAACTGTTGTTGCTCTAAAATTGTGTTTTAGCCTGAGTTATATACAGTAGTTGATAAAAGTTCAGATTTTGGAACTAACCTTACTCCCTGTGGTGTATGACAGGTTCCAGGTCTGTGGTCATGTGACTCTGACTGTTGCTCCCTCCTCCGCTGAGGTAGACCCTCTACTCTACTCGTAATCATGCATACATATCCTGCACTCAACAACACCTATCCTAAGAACAGCGTAACAAAGGAAAATTTTGCACTGGCTGTAATCAAGACATTTTTGCTGACTCAATACCTTTGCTGTGGAAAACACTACTTATGTATGTACCAATCAAGCTATGCAGTGTCTATAATATGACGTACTACCACAGTAATATTGATCTTCAAATTGCATGTTTGTGTAAATTAATAGACCCTCTATCTTCCTAGTTGCTATGTACTTTGTTGAGAGCTCAGAGCGTAAGTTAGCTAAGATGTTTTTAACTAATATGCCGCTGTGCAAAATTAAAGCAAAGTTCATTACACAGAGCGTGATCTGTAATCCCAGGTCTCTGGAGGGAGGAGAGTGGAGGTGGTGGCAAGAGAGGGAGAAGTGAGAGTGTCAGTGAGTGCTGATGAGGACGGAAGGTTCTGTGCCATGCTCAGACCTGGCCAATACGCCTTCACTGTGAGTAGGGTCTAATGTGGTACCTGGGAGCTTGTCACCCATTAACAAGTTTAGGCCCAACTAAAATTCAGCACTACATTGTACTTGTACCAAGGTTCACTAATGTGTTTGGCTGTTTCTGCTGAATGTAAATGACATGGTGGTGGGTGGCCTCTGAACCTGACACTAGTTTTGCATCCTGTGTGTGCGAGTTAATGGAGCTCCTCTTGTTGACACCTAACCCACCACCTTTTTCCCCACCCACTTTTCAAGCCCTGCCTTCCATCTCTCCAGTCACTCTCTCATATGTGCATGTACTCACCTCGCTCTGCTCACTTTCCTTTCCCCTCCCTCCTCTCTCTTCCTCCTCTCCCTCCCCTCCCTCCTCTCCCTCCTCTCCCTCCTCTCCCTCCTCTCCCTCCTCTCTCTTCCTCCTCTCCCTCGCTCTCCTCAGCCAGATGTGAGACCAGCAGAGCAGGAGTGGGGACTGGCGTTTGTCCCTCCCACCAAGGACTTCATTGTTACCACCTCCCCCTCCCCCTCCTCCTCCCTCTCCTTCACCCAGTTCACTGCCTCTCTCTCTGGCACTCTGTCGTGTCTCGGTTAGCACCAACCACACACACACACACACACGCACACACACACACACACACACACACACACCACATGCAACACACATGAATGCACAGTCAGCCACTCACAGCTCTCACAATTATTGAGAAGTGCATGACATCCACACAGCAACCCCGAATACTTACAACAATTTGGCCCATTGAAGCAGGGCTGACTGTGAATCAAAACCTAGCTGAGAACCTGTCAGAGTGGTGATTCCACTGGTTTCAACTTGCATCAGCACAGGAAACCACAGCTGAAGCTCTTCTAGTATATAGCCAGTACTGTATGTATTATACTACACAATCGGTCCACAGGAGCCTCTCTTTTATTATAAACCGCCTCCTGACAATAATTCCGGTGTTGATGTCAAGGTCACCAATGGAGTCACCTTTTGTTCCCTAACAAAGCACCGGAGACGTGGGCACCAGTCTTCTTTTAGAGTCTCTTACGGAATCAAAATTTAAAGGGAACGTGACAGTATAGAAGGGCTAGATTTAGAAACTGTTGCTAAAAAAAACGGAAATTATTTTGCTGGGCCGCATTGTTTAGTTACATCTTTAGTAACATTTCTAAATTTAGCCCTTGTTTTGCTGTCACATCCCCTTTAACCAATGGAGTGTGCCTTCAAGCATTGCTTTTTCTTCATAAAAAATACTCTTGAAATTTAGCCCCAACGTATGAGTGTTGCTGTGTTTCTTGCCTGTACAATACCCTAAGCACTGTGTTTAATGTCCCCAGAGTGGTGTCCACCGAGTGGTGTCCCGGTGACAATGAGTCAGGGAGGGAGAAGAGAGACGGCCTCCGCCACTCCCTCCTCCTCCTCTGGTCCCGGTGTGGCCTCCTTCTCCTTCTCCTCTCTACTGCCTGGATCTGTCAGTGGTGAGTCCTCTTATATACTGGGTAGCAACGCGGCTTGTGGACCTCACACGAAGGTGGCAGATTGCTGGGGTAGCCACTGTTGGTACATACATACAGTACGTAGCCTGATGGGAGAGGAAGCTGGGGAGGATGAGGAGGAGAAGGTCTGTAGCTGTGTGGTTAGGCAATTTACAAATACACATACTGACAGCTGCCACGCTATATTTCGACTGCACTGCCTCACCCTTTTTTTCTGCCACCTAATGTTTATTGATCGAATGGGGTGCACTTTCATTATTCCCCCAGTGTCACTGGACTACCCATTATGGTGCTGGGAGGCGGAGACTATCACCGTGGAGATAAACCCTGACCTTGTACCCAGCGTGAATTTTGTTCAGACGGGATATGCCATGCTCTACACTACCTCACACGATGTAACTGTCCTGGTAAGACGTGCTTCTCACTCAATGTTGTGTGTAAATTTGGCAAAGACAAACTAGCATGAAGTGCACACCGTGTTATCTTTACATTTGCTTTGTGGCTGGTTTCAACTTCTCTTGCCCCACTGGTTTCCAGGGTGACCTCTGCGAGGAAAACATCGATGTTTGTTCATGTGTGCGGTGTGCATGTTTTAGCTAGATTGTTGTGATTGTAGCTTCCACCTTATGCTACGCACAAAATGCTTGTGTTGTGACATGTAGTATGTAGTGTGCTGTCCACTGTGCAGGTAGGTAAGGAGAATGACACAGGAGTTGAATATTCTCTGGAGAAAGGATCTGGTAGAAAATGCCTGGCAGCTCCTGGTCTGTTAGTAGCAGTACTAGTACAGGTAATGGTGTGTCTGTCTGTGTGTGTGTGTCTGCAGGTCTGTATACGGTCACCCCAAAGTCCTGCCACAGGTTCCAAATGCAATATGGATTTGACACGTGAGCCACACCCTGCCATGCAGCCACATGCATAGACAAAGAAAACCTTGTACACAAGCTTGGGTACACACAAACTTGGAGAGGGTCACCAGGAAGAGGCTGGAATGCATAGCCACTCAGAGCAGCGACTCCTTCCTCCTCCTTCTCTCAAACCCAGATTTGTATACATTATGTGAAAGTCATTCAGACCCAATTAGGTTACAATCAACGAGAGTGGGAAACAGGGAAGGATAATCCCTTGACTTTACAACCCTTTCCTTACTAAAGTGTGTATAATTACGTTACAATCAATGAGAGTGGGAAACATGGAAGGATAATCCCTTGACTTTACTACAACCTGTTACTAGAGTGTGTATAATTATGTTACAATCAATAAGTATGGGAAACAAGGAAATTGTATATTCCCCCGGCTTTGCCCCCTCCGTTTCTGTATACTATTGTTTACAGGGTTAACACATGCACGATATGAGAGTGTGTGGCAAGTGCTCTCCCTTGGATGATGTATATACGCATTTATGGTAATGCGCAGGTCATTCCCGGCCCCACTGGTCCTGACAGCAGTGGCTCATACTGTGACAGCCACAGTTCTGTCTCCCTCACCCTCTGCTGACATCACTCTCCTAGTCAGGTGATCCTCAGACCATCTCTCTGTCTGTGTATATACCCCTCTATGTTGTTATAATATAGCTATGAAAGCGAGGTGTCAAGTTTTGAATAGGTATAATGTATACTCTGACAACCTTTGTTGATGTGACCTCAAGGTGGCCATGATAATGTTTGTGCTAGAAATAATGCTCATCAATTTTAGCAAGCCTGAGCCTCTGACTGTTTTGTTTAGCATGCGTATGCAATGCACCTTTGTTGGATATCCCTAGGCAACCAGCATGTATGAGGCTAGGTACTGGGGGATTTTATCAGCCTTTACAATCCTACATGTGCAAGCAGAGTTCATACATGTCATTTGCCTAGGGATATCCAACAAATCTGTTGCAGTACCCAGACAGGACTCATGCTGTCCTGTCTGGGCACTGCAACATATATATGAGTGTATGTTGGTTCCAATACCATGAGAACTGGGGGAGGGGGAGGAAGAGAGGGTAGCCTCTTCCCTACTTCACCTCTGCTTGCACATTATATTGGTTGTTCATGTAGCAGTAAGTTGAGTAATGTTGGTCCAGGTCCCTGGGACTGGGGGAGAAAGAGAGGGTGGTGTCTGCCTCTTCCGAGGTCATTGAGCTCCTCCAGGAAGACTCCACCAAATATCTCTTCACATTCCACATCCTTGCCAAGTTAGCCTGCACACCACATCTCAAACCTATTGGCTGTGGAGTATGAATAATCAATTCTCAAACTATTGCACATTCAGTGGTTTAGCGTGCATGCTACACACACTCTCGCGGCTTCTCACAACTCTTTCATGAAATGTTGCTTTTGCGTGATTCAAACTAACTAGCTCCTCGGGCTGTGTTGTCTTGTGTCATGTGTGTCTGTCTCCCTGTGTGTGCATGCAGGCCTCATGATGAGCTGGATGTGGTACCTCAGTCCTCGAGTCTCCTCTTCATCCCCTCTCACAGAGAGTTCCTCGTTTCTCAAGGTCTCCCTCCCCTCCCACCTTCCTCCCTCCCCTCTCCTCCTCTTTTCTTACACCCTTACTTTTACATCATGTTTCAGCAACATGTGTGGTGATGAATCTCATTAGTTCAAAACCACAAGTGCTGCGCTCATTATAAACTCGTGATGCCAGAGAGAGAAGTTGTGGTATGCTCTGCTGATGAGGGCCAACAAGCCCCAAACAGCTGTCCAGAGCTCCACATCTTTTTTTCTCTTGGCATCACATGGTATTTTCTACATGTGTGGCTCACATATTGTTGTGTTGCTGTACATGTATGCCCTTTGTCGACTCATCTCTCTGTGTTTGACCTGTTCGGTCGCGTGTCACTGTTTGATTACATAACCTGACACGTGTGTCCACCTTGCTCCTCTTAACGAAACAGACGTGTGTTTGTATTCCTGGAGCATGTGATGTTGAGTTTGTGCATGCATGCTCTCTATGCACATCAAAAGGAACTTTTTAAAAGCATTGTGTAAGTTTCCGCAAGACTTTATAATGGAACTGCAGTTTTTATATCACCTGAGGTTGACCTAACTGCATTTTCACGTGCTTGCTATAATACCCTTGCCACTTAATGTGTGTGTATGTATGTGTGAGTAAATGAATGAGTGAGTGAGTGTGTGTGTGTGTGTGTGTGTGTGTGTGTCTTTGTGTGTGGGTGCTGGGTTGGGTATTGGGGGAAGATACAGTCCTAGAGTGTGGGAGGCGTGTGCCAACCTCACCAATTGTGGCTGCCTAATGGTCCAAGGTGTATGCATCATTAACTGTTGACCCACTTCAACTCTACCTGGGGACTTATATTGGGCAATAATGAGCTATTATTCTACTCTACTGTTCTGTGTTAATCTATAATGTGTGTGTGTATGTGTGTGTGTTGTACAGTGTGTCCAGAGAAGGTTCCCCTGTTTGAGGGCAGTCAGGGAGTCACTCTGTCTGGTCATGTGGGTCCTCCTCCCCTGGGGGGTGTGGCCATTACTGTGACTCTGGGGGACGATGGAGAGGAGATACACACTGCCACCGACTCACAGGGACTGTACAGGTATAATAATATTCCGAGGAGCTAAAGGAAGAAAGCCTTGGGGAATTTTTGTAAAGTGTTTCCCTGAGGAGAAAGTGGACCACATTTTCTTCATTTTGTTTTCGTGATAACCTAACATTTTGCAGTAAAAGGCCCTCTCGTTGATTCACAAACGTGGTCTATTACACTACATTGTACTTGTTGTAGGGTTGGTCCAATTCATGGAGGGAAGAGCTACACTGTGGTGAGTCCTCATAGCTCATTGAGACATTGAGACAATGTTGAGAGTGTGCCCAGAGCTAACAGAGCCTTCTCTGCTACTGCAGTCGGCCGCTCTGAGTGGCTATACATTCCAGCCTCTTCCTGGTGACCCTCTCTCCTTCACCTCCCTCCGACTGGGACACATCAACATACAGGTTACCACCACCTCCCTCTCTTTCTTTCTTTCTTTCTTTCTTACTATTACTGCTTCCCACACTATCTGGGCCTCCAACTGCACCGATCCATCCATAATTTTATCACAAAAATATGGAAGATAGCTTCAGAAATCATGGCAAGTATTACATCAAACAACGTGTTTTACGCAAACAAAGGAAAATTTGCGAACTTGGTACGGGAGACTTTGAACGAAATTTAGTTGGAGGCACTGTGCTGTTTCTACTGTGTATACTTCCATTCCTCCGGCAGGTGTTGGAGGAGGAGAGTGGGTCTCCCCTCTCCCCAGTCCTCCTCTCTCTCAGTGGTAGCCACGGTTTCAGGAGCAACAACTTCACCAAGCCAGATGGGACTCTAGAGTACCGTGACCTGGTGAGTCCTGAAATGAGGCCTCAGCCTTGTGCTACTGCCCGTTTTGCCGCGATACCCTCAATTTTCCAGTAAACAGTGGAACCTCGTTAATATGAACACTGTTAAAGTGAAATACCTGCTTAATACGAACCACTTTGAAATCCCCAGGCATTATAACACTAATACAACTAGCTAATGTTTAATATGAACAATTTTGATGGTCCCCTGGGGTTCATATTAACAAGGTTCGACTGATTTGTGTATGATTCTTGTATAATACTGTGTATATACAATCAGGTTTTCCCTTCCAATGTACAGCATTCACATGAACCAATGCTGTTGTGTTTAGAATGAGGTAAAGTTGTATTATATATTATATATCCCTTCCAGGTTCCTGGAGAGTATTTTCTGAAACCTCTGCTTAGAGAATTTGAATTCACTCCTTCATCCACCGTTAGTTTAATTAATAATGTGCACCGTGTATATGTTTGTTTGTGTAGCGTAATCATCAGGTAAAACACACTCAGTAAAGTACACAAAATTGTGTGTGCGTGTGTGTGTGTGTGTACGTGTGCGTGTGTGTGTGTGTGTGTGCGTGCGTGTGTGTGTGTGTGTGTGTGTGTGTGTGTGTGTGTGCGTGTGTGTGTGTGTGTGTGTGTGTGTGTGTGTGTGTGTGTGTGTAGTATGTGTGTGTTATTACCTCGTGTCCTCGTGTGTATTATATATAATGCACAGAGTCTGACTCTGGGGCAAGGCTCTGTGGAAGACGTCACATACACTGGGCAGAGAGTGGCGTTTGGGTGAGGCGGTGGAAATCACCAACTCTTATGCATCGCAGTGTTTGTGTACTGACGTCACAGGTGTGCCGGTAGGGTGACATCACTCAATGGTCACCCCCTGGAAGGAGCTGTTGTCATGGTAATGCTCATTGATGCATACCCTCAATGCCTCCTTGTTTTGTGTGTTTACATGACGTAATGTTCGTAATTTCTTGGCTGACCAGTTAGTGCCGCTCTGTCTCAGCTGGCAGGTAGTGGGGGGTCAGAGTGCACGGTGACAGAGGAGGCTACCACAGGAGATGATGGCCAGTACCTCTTCAGGGGACTACCGGTGAGGGTAGTCTGAACTGCTCTCCTTGCCACACTGATCTCTCTCTCTTCCCAGCCTACCTGTGACTATGTGGTGTCTGTGAGAGACGGTGGTCCTAATGACATTGCCCACACCCTCCCTTCCTCTCGCCATATCAAGGTCTCACCAATCACTCACGTTCTTTAATGAGTTATTGGCAAGCGAAACAATGCTACCTTGTCATCTTTTGGATTGTTCTCTTACTATGTGATGGTCACTGCACATACCGTAATGTTGTACATATGTGATTCTAAATACGGTGCGCGAATACTCGCCTTCACATTTGATATCCCTAGGCAACCGACATGTATGAAGCTAGGTACTAGGGGGATTGTTTGTATCAGCCTATACAATCCTACATGTGCAAGAAGGGTTCATACATGTTGTTTGCCTAGGGATATCCAACAAATCAGTTGCAGTACCCCAGACAGTAAGGGCTCATGCTGTCCTGTCTGGGCACTGCAACATTATATATACGTTACAGTAGTTGTACATTATACAGTTATAGTTGTACATGTAGTACATACATACGTACATGGTGCTCTCTGTCTCCAGTTGGAGAGTAAGGATCTGGTGGACGTTTACTTTGCCGCCGTCTTTGCCATCAGAGATATCTACATCTCTGGTAACGTGCTGACCGACCCCAAGCACTTCTCTACTCTTCAGGTACACATACACACACAATACTGTGGAATACGGGACTCGTGTATACACAGATGTTTGCTGATATTTCAGACCGCATACAATCAATTACCATGCTGCAAATTGCCAATGTACCGATCCTCCCATAACTCAACAATGCAAAAGTCTGCCACAACTGCTGCAAATGTGTCAGACTTTTGATGAGTTATTGGAAGAGAACATGGAATAGCAGTAAAAGCGACTCTATTCATGTTCTTGCTGAAACATAATATTAAACAGTTACATTGGTGTGTCCTGTGTGAACTACGCGTTATGTTCACAGTGTCCTCAACTTCTCACCAACTTCTGATAACTGTCTCAGTGAGTGTTGGATGTGTGTGTCATGTCATGTGTACAGGTTCAGGTGTACTCTGAGAGTAGGATGGAGTCCCCACTGACTACTGCCGGAGTCAACAGTATCGGGTTCTTTGATCTCACTCCTCTTCCAAACAGATCTGAGGTCCTCCCTTCCCTCTCTATCGCAATTACAGTTGAACCTCTGAATAATGGACACGTTAATGGAACCAGCAATTTTGTCCCTTATAAGGAGGTTGTCCTCTCTTATATAGGAGGTCAACATGTACTAGAATAACAGGAGAGTAAATGTTTTTTTAATTCAGAGTGTCCACCATTAAGTGTGTCCTGTTTTCTATGTGTGCTTTTATTCAGAGTGCCATTTATTGGAGGTAGCTGTATACAATCACTGTGTTATACCGTTTTGCAGGACTACTACATCATCCTGGACACTAACCTGCCCTCCCACTTCTATCAGTTCACTCGTCCCCGAGGCGAGTCTGCCTGGCAGTCAAGACTCCCACATTACCCTCACCTTCAATGTTCAGGTTTGCTAGTATTTGTACAAGGGGTAAATTTAGAAACGGAAACTTATTGCATTCTTGCACTGGGCCCTATTGTTTAGTTCTATCTTTAGCAACGTTTCTAAATTTAGCTATTATGTACTGATATAAATGTTACTGTGTTCCTAAAGTAAGACCTGCTATGATTTTTAATTGCACAGGCCATCAAGTACAATGAAGAGCACAGTCATGGGTCACTGGTGGCTCTGGGAATAGCCATCGTCGCCATCTTTGCAGCTGTCAACTTCAACAAGGTATAGTGTCAGAGACCGTGTGCTAGGTTTTAATAATGCTTCATTTTAGATCTATGGATTTGCCAGTGGCCTCGTCAGGAAGAATGATAGATAGCACAGACTCATGTTGAAGAATGGTTGTACAGTGTGTATAATTATACAGTGGACATCCAAAATATCACAGGGAGACATTAATTTTGTGGTGTGCGCACAGCCAGCAAGCCATTTGTTTCTTCTTCATGAATAAGACATAGGTCAGCAAAAAACAATATCCACCAGACCAGTGATTCGATCAGGGCGACGCGTGGGCACGGGCAGCAAATAATTGCGCAGCGCTACTTTTGTGCGGCTCTACGCGGCGCATGCGTACACACGGCGCAAACAACAGCTAGCTAGCTATAATGGCAAAATGGAATTTCCCCGGGAATGTCCCGGGCGTGAGCAGGCAAAGGCTTTGCACGTAATTATTTTCGGGGGCATTCCCAGGGAAAATCCATCGTCCTATATTATAGCCAGCCTCGCGCTACGGGCCGGGCTTCATGCGCGAAAGCTATATACTGTCCACTTCCCGTTCGTGGGCTCTCTTACCATGGGTAACGCTGCTGGTAAGTTGTGTTTTGTATTGGTACCCGCATGAACATTCCTTCCTTTTTTGCAGGCTCAATAACGGCAAAAGAAATCACCATTGGATTCGGAGGAATTGCTATAAAGGGGCTAGCTGCTGCAGGCGCCACTGCCATTATCGTTGGGACGGGGGTTGCTGTGGGTATTGCAGTCAGTACTGGAGTTGTGTACGTACTGGTCAAGAATTACAACGAAAGCAAGAAGAAAAACATGTAGCTACTGACAAGTAATTCAGACTAATGTTGTCGTTGCGACGTTGTAAAAACGCGCAGAGCACCAGGTACTTCTTCCTCTTTCACGCGCGCATGCGCCCGGGCCCCACCCGTAAACGTACGGAGCATGCGCGAGGGGAGAAGTGATTCACGCACGTGCGAGAGATAAAGATGAGCCCCTCCCACCTCCTCGTCCAGAGCTGCAGAGCAAGCTCATCGCGTTGAAGATTATGTTGAACTCGACTGCCATTATTCTAATCGTCGTTCTAACTCTACCCGTGAACTCAGTCGATCTCACTGTGGAGGTGTCCGCCACCGGAACTGATGTAGTGCTAGCCACAGTCTCCAGGCTCGAGTCTGCGCAGATATTCGCCTCGGACAATCGCCTCCTGCGCAGGATAGCCTTCGTGGAGACGGACGACGGATTACAGCCGGAGGAGACCAGCCTCGATCAAGGCGGCATCTGGAGGGTAGACTATGCTCGGTTCCAGCAAACAACCACGGACGCATCGCTGGCAGAGAAGCGAGCAGACGTAGCAGCAGCATTTCCCGAGGTGGGGGACTGGGGAGAGGCTGTGTGGGAGGACTTGAGCAAGCCTCTATGGTCTGCATTGGCCGCTCGCCTGGTCCTGTTTCTCGCCGAGACCTCCGCCGCCACCAGGGAGATACCCTGGTGCTAGCGATATAGAGGGCCAGGCTCTGTTCTGGAGAGACGTGTACAACAGTGACGGAGACACAGCAGAGTTTGAGAGAAGGGTTTACTTACTGATAGAGGAAGAGAGTAAGTCACAGCCCCAGTGCTCTTTCATGTAGAGCAAAGACACATGATTGACATGTGTAGCCGTAGCGCACTAGCTCAAGGGTTTACCTGCCACAATATTTTGCGCACCTGTAGATAGCTACAGGTAGACACAATAATGGGCCATTGAATCAGTTTGACTTTGTTTGCTATGCTTCCAGGGTGCAGGATAAAGTTGGATATGATATTCCTAATGGACTCTTCGGGTAGTGTCGGAAGAAGAAATTTCAGAAGAATGAGGAATTTCATACGTGACTTTGCCGACAGTCTTGACATTGGACCAAATGCGACACAAGTCGGTGTCATCCTATTCAACGAGGCTGCCTGGGTCGGCTTTCACCTCAGTACGTTCTCGGAGAAAGTCCCCCTAATAGCCGGGATTAACGATCTCCGCTACGACAAGGGGTACACAAATACAGCAGATGCTCTCTGTCTTCTCCTGGAGGAAGGCTTCTCGGAAGAGAACGGGGCACGTCTGACTGCGGCCGAGGTGTTTAGCATTGCTATCGTCATCACCGATGGAGTATCTAACAGAAACTCCAGTAGATGTGACAATGCCACCACCTACGACACCGCAAAGGCTGTCCACAATTCCTCCCACGGAATTCTTGTGTTTGCCATCGGGATAACGGATGGGGTTAATGAACAGGAGCTCCTGGCTATCGCCTCGAAGGAGGAGTACATCACATACCTTAAAGATTTTAATGAATCCACCTTTGGAACAGCTCGTGATGAGCAACTTTATGATCTTTGTACCAAAAGTAAGTGCATCAACTTGTTCAGTTCAGCATGGAACTAACAGTTGTCCTCATTCAGCATTATAGAGCATACATACAATGTCATAATTATAATTACATACTTGCAAAGCATGCAAGATCATGTGCGCACATATTAGGTATTATTAGTGCATTCCCTGTAAATGAATATGCTTTGTCAGTGCTTTGAATAGTGTGCACATCTGCGTACACCCTGTGCAGGCACGATACCACTGGAAGCTAGTAGTTCCCTGACTGGCAGTCTTGAAGAAGGAGGTCTTGTCCGTTATGAGTTACAAGTCCCACCGCAGTTTCAGCTCTCACTCTACGTCTGTGTCAGCCAGGGAGAGATACAGCTCTACGGCTCGTCTGTCATCCTAAATCCAAACTCTGCTCTGAATGATTTCAACACGAGCGTGAATTCCACAAGTGTTAATCCCTGTGCGAATGTGAGCATTGATGGGTCATCCAGTGGTAGTCAGACAGCTCAACGTGACTCAATCTTTGTCTCAATTGAAGGGTTAGACTCTACGAACGACTATACCCTAGTCACCTCTACCTCCGAGCTACCTGGTGATAATAATGAGAGGGGCAGCGGGGAACCACCAGATGTGATATATCCAATAGATGGTGGGTTTTAGCTAACTATTACTACAAAAATTGCACAACACTAATTGCTTGTTGTTGGTTGTTGATATCTCTTTTCTGTTACCTGCAGATAAAGAATGCTTCGGGCTCTCCTGTGTACTAATCATTGTCCTGATCATTGTGACGGTGGCTATTTTCATAGCTCTGGTGACCCTCTGTGCTCTCTGCCTGGCAGCACTAGCATGGAGGAGAAAGAAACGGAACCGGGTCGGAGTGGCAGATGGTCAGGAACTGCTAGAACCTCAATTGTCCTCAAAGAAACATACTTATTCCCCGCAATTCACTCAGGACACAAGATAATTTTTTATACAGAAGCTACAGCTGTAAATGTGACTTTGGTGTTTTGCTGCGCATGCGCGCAGTCACGGTGACAAAGTCAATTGCGGGGGAGTTCGTATTGCGCGGCCGGCTTCGGACGCACGCGGTTGCAGTGTTTTTCCGGAGTTCTCCCCCGACGGTCCCAGGCCTAGAATAAAGGCAGTGTGCTATTGTCTCGGTCAGTTTCCGGTCAAGAGCTAGCTAGTTGCTGCATAATTGTTCGGCGTTGTTGTGCAATTAGTGGGGAACAACTATACCAATGTCATGTACAATTATACTATTATTATGTTGGTCTAAAACTAACCCTTGGAGAACAGGCCGTGGCGTAGCCACTGCCTATTTCGCGCACGTGAAATAGGCAGGCTATACGCCTGCCTCGCCGTGATATTCCACTATGCAAATACAGACAGATGGTCATATATAGAGTTTGTTTTACTCACAAGCACTCGACCCACATTCCAATTTCGCCTATCAGTGCTAAAACAAACTCTATTGTGGGTTATCTCTCTCGTACAAAATAAGTTGGCAGGCTTCAGGGCTGTGTCTTGTTGGATATTGGGATTCTAGTGTTGTGCTATTATAGCTCAATTGACCATGCAGCAGAGCTACTGTTGCTTCTGCCACCAATATTCACACGCCACAAACACATCAACACAGCTAATTTTATGCACACTGTATAATTTTGTCTTCTTACACTATTGCTACAAAAATATGCAGGTCAGCTCATACGTGACATACCAACTGTTGCGTTGGTCTATTCCGGAAAAATGAATGCTCTTCAGTTTCTTGTGTGCTTGGTGCTCGTCCGTTGCTGCTGTACACAAAATGACTGTACTACCAGGGCACACATCCTGCATATGATGAACGGCATTACCAATTACGGTTCAGAAGTGGTCAACACAGTTGTTAGAATCCTGGAGTGCTCTGGTGTTTTTGAAGACGATAACGTGTTCATGAGAAGATTGGCATATGTAGAGACAAGGGACGGTGCAGAAGGACAGGGCAGTACTGGGATATGGAATGCCACAAACCACCACCTCAATGCCATGGCCCACGAAGTTCTAATCGGATCATTTCCCGACTTAGTGGAGCAGACATGTGAGAAATTCGGTGTAAACATGAGGATGGCTGTGAGGTATCCCGAGAGCCTGGATTTGACAGACCCGTTGGTGTCTGGTGTTGTTGCTCGTTTCTATCTCCACTATGTGACTGTTGAAAGAGGCATACAAATTCCATCAGGCGAGGATGTAAATGGCCAGGCCACGTTTTGGGTCTCACAGTTCAAAATGAATGATGGAACTGCTACTCACTTTACAAGGCATGTGGCTGATCTTAAAGGTCAGAGAATTGTAGTGTAGACAAAAAGTAAGAATTTGAGCAAAATTCATCAGCAAGCTAATGTCATTTGTTTCAGGGATATGTCCGTGCTCAAACAGGGAAGGAGCTTGTTCATCTGTACTGCCAGAAGACTGGATGAACCGTGATGATGCTAATGGCTCGCGTGTGGTGGAGGCAGTTCTTAAACAGTTGGATAACTCACACATCTTCACACCTGATCATGGTTTCATGAGGAGAATAGCGTATGTAGAGACAAGGGACGGGACCAGAAAAACTGCACCAAATGCCTCTGGTAATTTGTGCCATAACGGAGTAGGAATATGGGGACTAACAGAATACATGCTGAGCAACATGAAACATGAGGTTAGAATGAAGGCAGCACATATCAAGAGGTAATGGCTGCAAGTGAGGATATATGCACAGAGTTTGGTGTGAACATGACTGGTCATGAGAAGCTGAACATGAGAAACCCACTGGTGTCTGGCATTGCTGCACGTTTCTATTTCTACTATCAGGTTATACTGCATAATAATATGAACAAGGAATTGCCTGAAGATTTACAGGGACAGGCAATATTCTTTAAGAAATCATATAAGAAGACAGGTATTAATAAGTTTTTGGAAGGCGTGGCTGACATAGAAGGTAAGACTGAAAATGTCTTTATATACTAACATTTGTGCATTCTGCTGTTTATAGGCTGCAAGGTGAATGTAGACATCATGTTTGTACTGGATATTTCACACAGTTTAAAGGATAATCATCTGGAAGAGGTGTTTGATTTTATGACTAAATTTGTAAAAAAAAACCTGACCATTGGGCCACGGAATGACAGAGTTGGAGCAGTCGTTTTTGGAGATTATGCCCACGTAATTTTCACCATGTCTGAACATGACAACAAGCAAAAATTGCTTAGTGCTATTGAAGGACTTAAGAGCTACGCACAACATGTACGGAATGGTGAGATACAGAGTACCAACACGTCCCACGGACTGACTGAGACACTGGCTATCTTCAAGTCAGATTCAAGACAATCCAACACAGTGTTTAGAGTTGCTCTGGTACTGTCAGACGGAGTGTCAGATGATCCTGATTCCACTGTCAGGGAAGCAGCAAACCTACACAACTTCTCGGTCCTGGTCTATGCCATTGGTGTCGGCAGTGTTAGCGACGAAGAGATGATAGAAATTGCCGGTGACCGCCATCGCTATACACGTTTGGATCGGTTTGATTCGGAACAATTTAAACTTGTTAGGAACAAATACGTCAAGGACCTTTGCCTGAATGGTAATTCTTTCCCAATCTATAACATGCATAGCTTCAAGCTGTGTGTTTCTTCCACACAGCAACCAAAGATATAAGTAGCAAAACATTTGCACATTTTGATGGAGATTTGGATCTGCATGAAATTATGCGCTACACAAGACTTGTTCCTGACAATGGCCTCACTATACGAGTGTGTTCCAGTGAAGGTAGAGTCACTATGTCTGTGTTCTGCTATGTCCCACTCCCAAAAGACTTGGGGAATGTTATAAGTTTCCGACCCACTTGTGATTACCGCAACACTACAGAAGATGGAAACTGCCAGTGTGTAGAGGTCTATATTCCAGGGTGTGTCTGTTCATCACCCCATGATGACAGCAGACTCAAACGTGCGACTGTGACAACCGAGGTCCACATCACCGTGGAGGGTATGGAGACTGAGAATGTGTTTGTTATTGACACCACTGATGGGGATGATCCCAATGACTGTGTGGGGATGAAGGTTGCAAGTGATTGTGTAAGACCTTGTAAAAGAAACCCAGATGGTGTGTAGCTAAAGTGTTCTGAGGGTCTGTGTTTAGTAGGGTTGTCTGTATATTATCCAGGAGCAAAGATCACACTGGACGACTCATTCTATAAGATTAGTGAGGATGGGGGATACGTGCACGTCTGTGTAGAACTAAAGAGTGACATTAAGCGGGATGTTGGCTTTGAACTCAGTGTCACTGACATTACAGCACAAGGTGAGAAATATTGTGCTACGAAATTGCTCAAGAAAAGTATGATTTTGTCTATCAGGTGGCAGTGACTTTATCTCGCCAGCAGGACTCAATTGGACTTTCACTGAGGGAGGTGACGCTGAGATGTGCTTCACATTTTTTATCACTGATGATGACTGTGTGGAGGAAAAGGAGTCATTTGAAGTGCATCTTTCGTCTTCTGACTCTTACGTTGATGTCCATATCTATTCAGCCAACGTCACAATCTGGGACAATGACTGTCAGTTCATACACTGTTCCCTGCTTTGACCAATGGTATTCCCTTTTAGATGCACTGTTTGCCATTGAGTATGACACTTACTTTGTTCCCGAGAATGACGGACCAGTCACACTCTGTGGGGAACTGCTGGAAGGTTGTCTGCAACGAGAAGTCATAGTTGAATTTTCAACCTTTGATGGAACTGCTCAGAGTAGGCTCTGCAATTAAGCTTATCACTTGTCGCAATTTTGAAGTATGAATCATCCCTATTCCTTAGATTCCTCTGACTATGAAGGTCGCATGGGCCGTTTGTCATTTGAGAGTGGCTCAACGGCAGGGACTGTAGACTGTGTTGACGTTGGAATCATTGATGATGTCTGCAAAGAAAGGAACGAGTCGTTTGTTTTTGCACTGTGTGCTGGAGGAGATCCGTCTGTGCACATTGATGACTTTTACTCTGATGTATATATCATAGACAACGATGGTAAGTTATCCAAATACACGTACATAATAACAATACAGCATCTTTCAGTCAAAAGACGACTGTTGCTAATGATACGTATGTTTGTTATTGTATCTCTTTTCAAATCCAGTTGTACAGGTTTCTCTGTCAGTTGGGAACTGGTGGTGTAGTTGATGAGGGTAATGGAGTCATGCTCGTAACTGTCACTCTCACTGGAGACCTTAAGACTGATGTCACTGTAAAAATTGCTACTGAGGCTGCTGGGACAGGTGTGCATGTTGTGTGACTAGATGAATGTAGTATTTCATACATTTGCTCTCACATTCAGCTGTAGCCTACGAGGACTTTATACCGGTGTATCAGGAGCTCATCTTTAACGAGGAGACTTCCAATACACAGACAGTGTTTGTTCCAATTCTGAACGACGTTTGTCTTGAAGAATACGGCGAGTTCTTCTCTGTTGTGGCAACTAGTGACATGGACTGTGTTGAGATAGTTAATGGAGAAGTTACCATTATGATTTATGATGATGACGGTAAGTTTATTAGATATTATTAATTGATGATTTATAGTTAAAGGTTTTCTATTTTAATGCAGAGGCCAAGATTACTCTGTACGAACCTTTCTACAAGACAAGTGAAGATGTTGGATCGGTGGACATCTGTGTTCAGCTGAAGACAGACATAAAGCGCGACGTTGAATTCCAACTAAGTGTTATTGATGCAACAGCACGAGGTGAGATAGATTAAAAAGAACTGTATATAGGGTAAAAATAGAGATCTTTTTCACAGAGCCCTACTTTTAGTTCCATCTTTATAGAAACATTTTTGTTTTTCTTTAGATGGAAGCGATTTTGACTCACCAGCAGATCTCACTGGAACATTCACTGTTGGAGGAGATGATCACATTTGCTTCACGTTCAACATCAGTGACGATGACTGTGTGGAAGAAAAGGAATATTTCCTAGTCGAGCTCTCGTCTTCTGATGAATACGTTGATGTACACACCTCTATAGCCACAGTACATATCAAGGATAATGACTGTAAGTGCTGGTGTTTGGTGTGATACGTAGTGGTAATTTTTAATACTCTGTTCTTTCAGGTGCCACGTTTGGTGTACAACAAGAAGTGTATTATGTGGAGGAGAATGCTGGATTTGTTAGAGTTTGTGTTGAACTATTTGATGGTTGTCTTCAGAGAGATGTTTATATTGAGATCAAGAAGCTTGATGCCACAGCCATTAGTGAGTATTCACATTGCAATACAGTCATGTTTTTTTTGGTGTAATGAATTGTGTTTTCTCTAGATGAAGCGGATTTCGTGGGGGGCAAATATCAATTACACTTTGAGAATGGCTCGGTGTCTGGGGCAATAGACTGTATCGACATGGAGATCATAGATGACAACATCAAGGAGGGGAATGAGTCATTTCTGGTTGTTTTATCTCCCGGAGGAGATGAGGCTGTTCACCTAGTCAACCACTATGCTGATGTATACATCATTGACGATGACTGTATGTTGGTTCTCTCTGGTTTCTCCCAACATTCAATGAGTGATCTCTGAAAATCATGCAGGGGTGAATGTGACTCTGTCACTGGCTAACCCAGCTGGTACAGTAAAAGAGAGTAATGGAGCTATGCTTGTTCTGGTTGAATTGGAGGGAGTGATAAAGACCGATGTGACAGTGATAGTCAAGACTTATGATGGATCTGGTTAGTACAAAGGTCTACCCTCTAGGGTGGTAACCTCTCCATGTCGCCATTTATGTTTCTACAGCTCTGGAAGGTCTTGACTATGTGTCAGTGACAAAAGAAATTGTATTTACCAACTACTCAGAGAATCCACACCGTCTCTACATACCCATTATCAATGACTGTGACTGTGTTGAGGAGTATGAGTACTTCTTAGTGAACATAACCACTGACATGGATTGTGTCCATCTACCTGTTGAATATGTCCACATCACAATTATAGATGATGACAGTGAGTTACAACGTTGCTGTACACAAGCTGGACAAATTTGCATAGTCACTCTTATCTGGCAGAATTGACAAAATGTGTAATATGCTGTGTCATCACCTTCCTTTAGTGCCTAAAGTGACCCTTGAAAGAATGATCTATGAAGTATATGAGGATAACACAACTGTGTCTTTGTGTGTTGAGCTTAAATCCAACCTAAAACGTGATCTTGAGGTTGATCTCTATTTGTCGGGAGACACTGCCACTGGTAAAATAGTATTTTGTTGTGATGCCTCAGTAGGTGATTGTTTCTTGCCAAACAGCTGGTACAGACTTTGATGGAACATCTCCGCTGACGCAAACTTTTGTCAATGGATCAACTGTTGGAGACAGAGTCTACTTTAACATTCCAATATTTGATGATGATATTGTGGAAAATGAAGAATTCTTTTCGGCTTTGCTTATTGCAGATGCGAAAATACACATAGACACTGCATATGTGCAAATAACAGACAATGACAGTAAGCAGGAATAACTATCACAGTCTTGTATTCTGTGTTAACCTCTAATTATTTGCAGCTGCCTGTGTCAACTTCTCAAAGTCAGTGTATGAGGTACAGGAGAGCAGTGGGTCTGTAGAAATTTGTGTGGATGTCGATGGTACTCTTGAAGACTACCTGACAGTTTATCTCTTTACCATTCCTGGTTCTGCCACTGGTATATAAGCCTAACAATTCTTCATTGCTTATTCTTTCAGTCTTCTTATTCCTCTCCTGTAGCTGCTGACTTTTATCCACTGAGTGAGAGCCTCACATTCCACGATGGAGGGCGACAGTGTGTGAACATCAGCATTGTGACTGGAGATGCTCTTGAGAACGTCGAGAAGTTCTCAGTCGTCTTGTCTACTCGGGATGAGCGCCTTGAAATAAAGCGCTACTACGCAACAGTTTATATTGTTGAGGATGGGAGTTAGTTGACCAATTCTCCATCAATGCATCATTTCTTGTCTCATAGTCGCTAACCTCTTTCTAATAGCAACCATTACTATGTCACGGTATAAAAAATTAATGGAACTAACTTTCCTTACAGCTGTCAGAATTGGCTTCAGTCAGATTGTATATCAAGTGGAGGAAGAGGATGAAAATGGAGAAGGAAGCATCGTTGAAATCTGTGTGGAGGCTGGAGACCTTGACAGAGATGTGAATGTATATGTGACCACAAGTAGCCAGACTGCTATAGGTGAGACAGACTCACACAGGGTTGAGATTTTTCACTCTTTCTTGGTCACCTCTGCAGCTGGTGAAGACTATTCTGATGTCCTTGCTGAGCTTAGAGTGCTGAAGTTTAAGTTTCAGCGAAGAAGGAGATTTATTGGTAGCATCACTGAGGAGCAGTGTTTCAATGTCACAATTCTGAGCGATCCTTTCGTGGAAGAAGACGAAGTGTTTTTGGTTCAACTGTCCACTGATGACTCTGGAGTTGTACTTAGTCCGGAAGAGGCTGAGGTTGTCATTCTCAACAACGACAGTGAGTGGTGCATTATTATAGTTTTAACTGTTCACTGCTGTTATCACTTATTATCTTTCAGTCATTGTTCAAATGGAACTGGCTGAATATAATGTGTGTGAGGGTGTGGGAAGCCTGATGGTGTGTGCTGCTGTCACTGGTAGGACTGTGACTTCCTCTTTCACTCTTGCAACAAATCCAGGAACTGCCACTGGTATACATACACCTTAAGGGTGTTGTTGATTTATCCTTGGCTTTTACCTGAATGTTGTTGTAGCTCCAGAAGACTATGAAGATGTTAGTTTAGAGGTTGTGGGAGAGCAGATTCCTTGTCTGAGCATCACCATAAAAGATGACATGGAGAGGGAAAGCTGTGATGAGACCTTTACTGTTGTCTTGAGCACATCTGATCCCAGTGTCATTATTGTCTCACCAAACACATCTACTGTTACCATCTATGACAATGAAGGTCTGCCACTATAATACAGCAGCTCATCACTCAACCCTGCCCTGTGTGTTCCTCATAGAGCCCAGGATTGAATTCATCAATAATACTCCAGATTCTACTGGTTTCAATATAAGCTCAGAATTTCAGATAGAGGGCTGCATCAATCAGACAATGTGTACCATACGTCAAACTGGAGAATCTATTGCCTGTGAGCCACTCTGCCTATTTCATTTTCATGTCTTAAAGTGTCTATCTCTGCTAGGTCAAAATTCTGCGTCCTTCACACAAGAGCGAAATGGTGCTCGCACTCTGATTATTACAGCCAGTGGCGTCTGTGGAAACAGTCAAACACTGTCCCGTATTCTTCGATCTGGTGAGCCAATGGTGGTGTATATACAGGGTAATGTTGATAGTTGTGGTTTCTCTCACAACAGACGTCCCAGTATGTGATGTACATCAAATCAATGGAGGAGTAGAGCAAGCAACTGTAGATGGGAATAGTGCAACTGTACTGTTTGAAGGAACAGGTCCATCTGTTGACAATGTTGTCACTGATTTTGGGCTCAGCATTAGAAGGGCGAGTGCCAATATCGTGACTGGCCTCATGTGCTCTACAGCAGCTACTCAGGCTCCCTCTCCATTTACTGTGACATGCTCTGTGGATAATGGTTGGGCTATAGCTATCACCACAGTTCTTCTTGTTATCTATTAGCTATCCTATAGTTGGTCATGGAGAGGTGACTGTGTCTGGGTTTGATTCCAGTGGCACATGGGCCATTGCAGTTCGACCAATCGAGCCATCTGTTGACAGTCGTCTGTGCCGCAGGCGTATAGAACGAACATTTACTTTTGACATTTGATTAATTGACACTCTCCGGAGATGTCTCTTAAGATGCAGAGCAGATTATTAGATTGTAGTTTGTAGCTGATTTTTAGTATTGTATAGTTCCATGCTCTGCTATGTATAATAAATAATAACCAGATTAATATAATGTGTTTTGCATAGATAGTAGCTATGAGCCGCTACAAATGAGGAACTTGCTCTGACCATAGAGCAATTGTGTCTTAGAGAATACATTTCTCACTTTTGGACACGTGGTCGACCTCGATAATAATACTCAGGTGGCTGCCATATATACCACTAGGGCCATAGACCACGCACCCAGAGCAATGGGCGGAACCGTTAACAAACGAACATACACTATATGAACACGAGGTGTCTGTCTCAGACACCTCAACTCACCCTTTCTGCCAGCGACACCCTGCAGCTCCCCAGACGCAATCTGAGACTGGGTCTGTTGTACGCTGGGATTATCACCGTATAACCTAATATAACCTTTCTTAGCTCCCAAACATCCAAATAAAACCTCTAACAAGGCTAAGCAAAGAACCAAATTTATCCTCCCACAGCACACTACCCAAAATAAAGGAAGCTTTCCTGAAACTATCAAGGGACTGGAAATGCTCAAACCCATCATCCCCAAGCACCCCCTGCAGGGCAACTAAGGAATTTCTCCTAAGACTACAATTTTGCTGGACACTCTCACAACACATGACTCACACTTTCACACTCATCATCACACAACAGGCACTCCTTAATCCCCTCCCTCCCACTATGCTTACCCAGTTCCTCATTTAGCCCATGCGTATATACCTGACCTTAACCAAATTAATTATTTTTTTTGATAGCTACCGTGTGTTTGCCGGGCAACAGG